GAGGGGTCCAATTCACCTCCAAATTTCGGAGGGCATTTTTGAGCTTACTTGGCACTGCCCAGGGCTTGAGCTCATTGCATCACATGTGCACTAATGGTCAAACTGAGATAACTAACTCAGTCCTAGAACAATATCTAAGATGTTTTATTAATTATCAACGGGATAACTGGACTGGATTTCTGCCTTTTGCTGAAGTTGCATTCAATAACTCTGTATATAACTCAAGTATTGTCTTTACCCCTTTTAGAGTTGCCACAGGCCAAGATTTCATCCCCATGCCTGAATTACCCACAGAAAATCCCACCACCCCCTCACTAAAGGAGTGGATGGGTACTTTGTAAAACACATGGCCAGTAGCTAGAGAGGCTTGTAAAACTCAGGCTGACAAGAAAAGAATAGAACCCAAACCTTTCCATATTGGAGATAAGACTATACTTATCTACTAAATTCCAGCAATCCTTACAACAATCAAAAAAATTAGGCCCAAAGTTCATTGGACCTTTCCCTATCACTAGGATCATCAATCCAGTGACAGTAGAACTCCGCCAGAGGTGGTATTCATCTGGTTTGCACCTAATCGTGAGAACGGGTAGAGATAATTTGGCGTGGGTTGCTGAACAGGTAGCGACTTCTGGCTGGCCACGCCCCCAAACTGGTTCCTGGTCACATCTTGCTCACTTGCCCCACCCTATGCTCACCCTGCCCAGTCACTCCTCACTCCACACTGGGTCCTTGTGGCTTAACCTGCTTTCCCACATGGTGCCTGACCCTATGTCCCAACTGAGCAGCTCTGATCTTCCTGCTGAAAGGTAAGCCTGCGAGTCGCACTATCCCCCCCAGCGTCCCCGAAGCTTGCCTTCCCCTTCCCTACCATCCCCCGAGCTTGCCAAGGGCCTCCCCACCGTTCCCAGGCTCTTTTGGCTCACTTCGTTGCTGGCACACCCTGGCTAGCGTGTGTGTGTGTGTGCACGCATGTGTATGTATGTGTGTGTGTGTGCATGAGAGAGAGAGAGGGGGCTGGAGTGGGGGGGCGCCACCCATTTCGTCCTTTTCCCCCACCCGCTGCTGAAGATCGTCCCAGATAGCCAGGGGTGTGTGTGTGTGTGTGTGTGTGTGCGCGTGCACGCGTACAACAATGCTATCATGTTTCCCCCTAGTTCTTCTTCCCTCTGCTGGTAGATGCTTCTTTTCTTCTTTTTGGGAAAAATATTACGGTTCCTTTCCCTACAAACTATGGAAATTGGATGGTTAAAAAAACACACACAGGATGATGGCTTTATCTTTGTGAGTGTGTTTGTATTTCTGCATTTGTATTCATGTGAAAGAAAAAGAAAGGAAGGGAGAGAAAGAGAGAAAACTCTGTGCTATTGTTTTTAATTGTTTCTCTTAGCTGTTTTCCTGGAATCTGTAGATATGAAGCAACAAATGGAAGGGTTTATAGTAGTTTATTTTGTACTTACAGTAAATCAGCAAGCACAGTAGACCTGCACAAGGTTAGCGCTGGGAGCAACCGCCTTCCAGCGCAATTTATCCCCTTACTCCACCCACTTAAACGTTTCTATCTCCGCCCACAAGGAAACATTTTGTACATGTGTATATCTTTTCTGTATGACATCCACAATACAACCCCAACACATAAGAAATTTGTAATATGTGCTTGGTATCTTTATCTACTTTATCTCATAGGATTCAGGGCTTGAACAAAATCAGTTTTCTGTGGACTGGGTTATAATATTTAGGTTTACCTGAAGATGAAGCTAGAAGTCAAGCCAATTTTCAAACCAGTGTGCACCACTGCCCTTAAAGTTCACAAAATAAGTACAATGAGAAAGTGGGTAAGTGATTATTTACAACAAGACAAAGTAAACAATACATTTTCCCCTTGAATTAAGATTAATAATAAGTAATGAACATGTCTGGATCAATAGATTTATCAAAATGGGACTGTTTAAGGGATTGCATTTGCCATTAACTTGGTCTTCACTTCCTAATTGTGAAATGTCAGGGTACTAAAGTATGGGGACATTGAGGACTCCCATGTTTAAGTCAATCTCAGTATGGAAATTCACTGGCAGGGGTGGATTCAAATTTTTTAACAACCGGTTCTGTGGATGTGGCTTAGTTGGTGGGCGTGGCTTGCTGGCCATGTGTTGTGGTTCGCCGGCAGCAGGTGCGGACGGCAGAGGTCTCTGACAGCGAGGACAAAAGGGAACCAGTCAGGTAGTCTGACAAGGACTCAGATGAGAGTCCTGTGTCTGATGCAGGGATGGGGCCAGGACTATCGGAGAGTGCGGTGCTTCCTTCGGAGCTTTGGGAGTCTGGCAACAGTGAAGCAGAGGACCCCGTGGAGCCTGTGCCCAGTGTACATGTATGCAGGGATGCTTGAAGGAGAGAACAGCTGAAGCAGCAAGGGTGACTCAGGAGTAAGGCTGGAAAGTGATGGACCCTCTCATAAGGGATAAAACCCAGCCCTCGGGGAAGTGTTCTTTGCAGGAAGCAAATAAGCTCATTAGACTCTGAGTCCTCATTGAAGCCCTGCTAACTTCAGTTTGTTTTTGAAACTTCTGTCAGTGGATATTTAATCAGTAATTAGTCTTCTGTTCTTGGTAGCCTTCTGCAACCTTGAAAGGGCTTGCTTTTGATATCGGACAATTATTTTTAAATGACTCTTGGCTGGGAATGCAAAGAATTTTAAAAAGGGTTGCTTTTATACACAGTTTGTGTTTGTTTAATTTGAACAAGGCTTGGGTCAGAACATCATATGACTTGGTGGACGTGGCTTGGTGGTCATGTGACTGGCTGGACATGGCCAACTCAACATTACTCCTATTGAGGGGTGCTTCTCCTCACCTGGCCTCTGATGACCGTGGGGATACTGTAACAGTTAAGTGTGAAAAACAGCCATGTCAATTTTTTCAGTGCCACTGTAACTTTGAATGGTCACTAAATGAACTGTTGTAAGTCAAGGATTACCTGTACAAAAATACAAAAAGCTTCTTTGCTTGCTAAAAGCTGCCTTATATACCAATCATTAGATTAAAAATACTTGCAAGCCAGAGTTAAAAATCAGGCAGGGTGCCAGAGCACCTTGAGGAATTAAAATAGTTAAAATGCAATGATAACTATTAGCAGCCAACTCTTGCTCATAAAGTGAAACCCTTTAGCAGAGAGGTCATTTAAGCTCTCCAGAAAGGGCACACCCAGGAGAAGCAATCCTTAGATCCATTTGCACCACTTAAAGACACCAGCTGGTCTCACTCACCTCACAAGATATCCTAAGGAAAACATCCAGATTTAAGGAAAGATCACATGCCTCCCAGAAAGGCTGTTAAAAACCAGTGCCAAGCTTGCATCCTGCCTCTAGGAAGTACACCCCAAAAGGACAGTGCCAGGAACCACTAAAGCAGTGAAGGAAGATCCCCCCTCCCCAGATAGAAAAAGAAACCATGAGGCAGGAAAAAATTTAAACACAATACAAATAATTAAATCACAATAGCTGTTGCTTGTTAAACCAATTACCAGAACAAATAGACACAGGAATTAGCCAGATTTCTCAACCCAGTTTCTTTTCAAGAACAGAGATTAACCTTTTTCCTTCCAAACAAAGCTGAATAGGGAAAATTATCCCATCAATTAAAAAAGGATTAAACGTCACCAAGCACAGAATTAAACTTCACCAAAAACCAGTTTTAGACCAAAACTCAGAAAGGGTATGTAAACTAACATTTGAATGTCAATCTTTCTAGCTAGCCAAGAAGCCTTGCTGAATGTCACTTATCTTGGTTCCTTGTCATTAAAAGCTTCTTTCCGGCAGCTCTGCTTCATTATTCAATTATTTCTTCAAAGTGCTAACTCCAACAGGGGAGTATTTCCTCCCAACAGCAGTGTAAAAAAATAACCCTTCCCCTTTAATAAAGTCAAGCTGTGAGGTTTCCAAATGAAATTGCTACACATATGTCAATTTCAGGCTCCCCACAAGCAAAGTACCAGCAAAGGAGAGGGAAAAATAACTCCAGAGAAGCTCCGGAGACAGGAAGTCTAGTCCTGCCAAGAATGTAATAAGGGTTAACAGAGAGGCAGTTTCTGTAAGCAACACCAGAATGTTTCCTTCCTGTCTTCCTTACAGGATTGGGCCAGAAAAGTGGGGGAAAAAAACAAAAGGATCAACTCCTTTGGTCTTTTTAGTTGTCAATTTCTTCTAACAACCAGTTCTCCGAACTGCTTAGAAAGTTAACAACTGGTTCTAGCGAATAGGTGCGAACTGGTAGAATCCCACCCCTGTTCACGGGGCGAATTGAATCTGTTATTTTGTCTCAATCCAAGCTCCATCAAAAGGGAGAGAGTGCAGTGAGCAGTGGTGGGCTGCTACCAGTTCATACCAGTTCTGGCAAACCAGGTATTAATTTTACATCTGATTCACTGAACCAATAGTTGCAACCACTGGCTGGCCCTGCCTACCCCTCCCCTCCCAGGTGTCTCCACACAGCCCATTTTGGATCCCAGGTAAGTGCGGGGCCCAAGCGGAGGCTCATGGAGAAGAAAACCTCAAGGAGGCTCCAGAAGGCTAGAAATGGGCCTGTTTCCAGCCTCCAGAGAGCCTCCAGAGTCCGGGGAGGGGTGAAACGGGCCTTCTCGAGGCACCAGAAGGGTGGAAATGGGCCCATTTCCAGCCTTTGGAGAGCCTCTGGAGCTCAAGAAGGTGATTTTTGCCCTCCTGGGGGCTCAGGGAAAGCCTCCGGAGCCCAGGGAGGGCAAAACAGCCCCCCCCAACATGAGCAGGAGGCTGACTAGGCCCCCCCCCACCATGGCCATGTCCACCTAGCAACCAGGCACAGAATTGGTTCCTAATTTTTTTGAAGCCGACCCCTGGCAGTGAATATTACCTTGAGTTATTGGAAGAAATTCAGGATATAAATCCTGATGTTATATAGTGATCATAAAACCAAATCTTAATAACAGTTATAATATTAATTGCTTTTTTTATTTTTATTTTTCTCTAGGACTATACACTAACTATGTATCTCCAGCAATCCTGGAGGGATAAAAGATTATCCTACTCTGGCATACCTTTGAATCTAACTTTAGATAACAGAGTGGCTGATTATCTCTGGGTTCCAGACACATACTTCCCGAATGACAAGAAATCCTTTGTTCATGGAGTTACTGTGAAAAATCGAATGATTAGGCTGCATCCAGATGGAACTGTTCTTTATGGTTTGCGGTATGTTACATTTCATATTATTTTGAATGCTTTTGGAAATGAATTTTTTTGGGGGGGATAAGGACTGGCCCGCAGCATGAATTTCCAGACAGACACAAACCCCACCACCACTTTTTATTTTATTTATTTTATTTATTTATTTGTCAATTGTTTATGAGATAAGTAAAAGTGTATACATAATTATGAATACATGAAATGAGTACATATAAGAAAAATAAAAGAAAAATAAAAGAAACAATAGGACAGGGACGGTAGGCACGTTGGTGCGCTTATGCACGCCCCCTACAGACCTCTTAGGAAAGGGGTGAGGTCAATAGTAGACAGTCTAAGGTTAAAGTTTTTGGGGTTTGGGGAAGAAACTATAGAGTCGGGTAGAGTATTCCAGACATTGACCACTCTGTTGCTGAAGTCGTATTTCCTGCAATCAAGCTTGGTGCGGATAACCTTGAGTTTGTATCTGTTGTGTGCTCTTGTGTTGTTATGGTTGAAGCTGAAGTATTCATTGACAGGTAGGACATTGCAATGTATGATTTTATATACCATGCTTAAATCAGACCGAAGACGGCGTAATTCAAGGTTTTCTAGTTCTAGAATTTCAAGTCTGGTGGCATAAGGCATTCTACAACGAGTAGAGGAGTGGAGAACTCTTCTTGTGAAATATTTCTGGACTTTCTCAATTGTGCTAATATCAGGCGGTTCAAGATTTTACCCAGGCATGAAATTTTGCCTAATTTACAGATAGTCCTCAACTTACAACCACAATTGGGACCAGAGTTTCGGTATTACCGCTAAGATCTTACATTCAACATTCAGGAGTGAGATAGGTCTGTAGTTTTTGATTTGATGGGATCCATTTGTTCTTTAGGGATAAGGGTTATCAAGGCTTCTGTCCATGTTTGGAGTATTTTAGCTCAATTTAAGGTCTCATTGTATAGCTCCACCAACAACTCCTCTATTATATCTTGGAATTCTTTATAAAATTCCACCCTATTCCATCTGGTCCTGGAGTTTTGTTAGTTTTTTGTCTTCCAATTGCCTCTTTTACTTCTTTTAAGGTTATTCTAACATTTAGCATATCCTGAGCAGTTTCCATTATGATGCCCTCAAAATATTGTGTAATGTTCTCATCTGGGCTTTCTTCTTTTTTATATAAATTGGCAAAAAAAAGTGGGCTATTGTTTTCCTTTGGTCTGTTTGTGAGCATAATATTCCACTGTCATCCTGTAGGGGTATTATAATTTTTTTCTCCTGCTCCTTCTTTAATTTGTGTGAGAGCCATCTCCCAGGCTTGTTCACATTCTCCAAATATTTTTGTTCAACTAGTTTCAGTTTTCTGGCCATTTCTTCTTGGAGGCTTAAATTTATTTCATGTTTGGTCAAACTTAATTCTTTTTTAATTAATTCGTTGCATGGGTCTTTTTGCAATTTAGCTTCCAAGTTTTCCAATTTCTCCAGTCTCGCAATCTGTTGATTTTTTTCGGTCTTTGTTTTTTTTGTTTTTTTTTTGCTGCGAACGCTATTGTCAGTCCCCTCAGATAGGCCTTTGTTGTATCCCATAAATTTTGGATTGTTGTATGTTCATTCATATTGATTTCAAGAAATATCTCCAGTTCCTTGTTTATCATTTGGGTGTATTCCTTGTCTCTCAGTAAGCTCTTATTAAAAGTCCATCTACCTATCTTTTTCTTTCCTCTCTAAATCAATGTAGTTGGATTGTGGTCAGCCCAGGTGTTTGGCGAAATTTCCACAGTGTCTACTTTTTCTAGTAATTCCGAGTCCATCCATATCATATCAATCCTGGATCACGATTTGTGTGGGTTGGAAAAGAAGGTAAATTGTCTTTTAAATAAGTTTAATTCCCTCCAAGCATCTTCTAAGTTCATTTCTTGGGCTAATTGGTCAAATGTTATTGGGAGTATTCTCCTATTTATTATTTTTGCTACTTTTATAGTCCTTTTCTATACTTGGCACTGCATTATAGTCCCGTACTATGCAAATGTTAGTTAATTCGGTCTCTATGATTTTCTTGCAGAGCTTATGGTGAAATTCCTTTTGATTGGTATTTGGGGCATAAATTGCTACCAATAATACCTTTTTTTTGTTCTATTGTTATCTCTATAAGGAGTATCCTTCTATCATCATCATTATAAATTCATTTTGAATTTAGCCAATTCTTAACATACACCGCAACTTCTCTCTTCTTTTGATTCATCAGGGCCAAAGGTAATTTACCTAATTTGGGGACTTCTAATACATTTCCATATTGTTTCGAAATATGTACTTCTTGTAAACATGTGATATCTGCATTTTGCTTTACAAGTTTCTTAAACATTTGCTTCCTTTTAGGTAACAAATTTAGTCCATTTATATTTAGAGATAGTAAGGTAATCCCTCTGTCCATTTTATTGTTGGTATTCTACAACTCTTGTTCACAGTTGTCTGCAGTTGGTTGTTTTCTTCCTCTTCTCGGTTCTTCTGTTCTCTTCTTTCCCTTTCTATTCCTTATCTTCTGATGTTATCTCCTCTTGGCTTCTACTCTCCATTTTTTCATTGCTTTCTTGTTCTACCTCCATTATCAAGTAACGTCCATAGAACTTATATGCCTTGTCGAGAGAATTGATTTTAAACTTCTTCTCCTGCCATGATATCAGTAATCCTCTGGAGTTAGCCATCTAAACGGTATGTTGTTTCTGATCAGTTGTGATGAAAGGAACTGATAGTTCCTTCTCTGTTCTCTCACCCTCCTCGGTATCTGTTTTAAGGTCACTACTTCATGGCCTTTGTATATCAGTGACTCATCCCTCGTTCGTCCATACAACAGATCTCTGGTAGCTTTCTTTGCAAAGCATACACGGACCTCCCTTGTTAACTTTCATCTATGTGCATAATGTGTTTGCACCTGGTAGACCTCATCCAAATCATTCATTATCTCCATCTTGTCTTTCTGGAGGACCTTTGCAATTAGCTCTGCCATAAGAGGGCATAAGAGGCCACTTTTTCGTTGCTTTCTTGGTCTACCTCTGATACCTTCTTTCCAGATCCTCAACTGGAATCTGAGGAAGAACGCCGCCTTTTCCAGCTCTAGATGAACCACTGCCTCTTGGAATTCACAATAAAGGATTTTCCAGTTTTGTTCAGTCTCTTCAAGTTTCTTTTCTACATTCTCGGTCCTAAGTTCCATGGTCGTCAATTTCTGTTCATTTCTCACTGCTGCCTCTTGGATTGTTCCAAATTTATCATCCAGTTTCTGGATATCTGCTTTCACTTCTGCTATGTAGTTCTTCATCTCACTTTTCAATTCTTTGTGGTTTCTAGCTATAAGTTCTTGTATTCTTACTATCATTTCTTGCATCATTGCAAGGGAAGACTGTACAGCTTGTAGTGTTGGAGTAGGTGTTGATTTTTTCTGCCCCCAACATTGTATCCAAGGATCTTTGTCCTGCAGGGGAAGGGTATACTTGTTGTCATCTTTTTTCCGACTTGCGTACTTCTTGTTGTTGTTGTCATTCTCAACACTCTCAAAAGATCCCAGATATGTTTCAGAACTACCACTCCCTTTCCACTGCACTCTGTGTTCTCCCTCTTATTTCACTCTTTTTCTAATATATTTCTTAGATTAAGCTATATATATATTTAAGATATTCATAAATACATACTGAGTTTCTACCGTAATTTTACAATTAACTTTCAATTCTACAATATTGATTCTATCTTCAAATCAATTCTGACAATCAGCAATTCATAATCAGTAATCAAGAGTTCCTTAATTAATTCTTCTTCTTCTTCTTTTTCTTCAGCGTTTGTCTCGCGCTCTGGCGAGGTCCGCTAATGTCCTTGAGTACTGCTTCCACACCTCTCTGTCTGCCACGTATGTCGGGTCTGCCTTCGCGATCTCTAGATCGGCCTTGATCGTGTCCATCCAGCGTTGCTTAGGTCTACCACGCGGTCTCGCTCCTCCGACAGTCACCTTCATTGCAGATTTGATGATGGATTCTTCCTTGGTGCGGCTCACGTGGCCGAACCATCGTAGCCGGGACTGCCTCATGACCGTGGGGATGGGCACGACGTTGAACCGTCTACGCACTTCTTCGTTCCTGACGCGATCGAGTAGGGTGAGGCCTACCGACCATCGGAGCATTCGCATCTCCATTATCTGGAGTCTGCTTTCGACTTCTTTGGTCGTCGGCCAGCACTCTGCGCCGTATATGGCCACGGGGCGCACCACAAAGTTATAGATTTTCACCTTCAGGCGCATCGGCATCTTCTTGTCACAGAGGACGCCCGTGACGGACTTCCATTTGCCCCACGCTGCGTTGATCCTGGCTGCCACCTCAGTTTGTAGTAGGCCTTCTTCCCCAAGAGTAGTTCCCAGGTACTTGAAGGTGGAGACGCGCGGTAGCTCCTGCCCGTTCACGTGGATGGAGCCTGTCATTTCATTGTCAGTGGTCAGGTATTCGGACTTCTTTAGGTTCAGCCGGAGCCCGAACTGCTCGAGACGGTCGTGCCACTGTTGGACTAGGTGCTCGAGTTCAGCCTTGCACAGGTTGGCCAGGAACACATCATCGGCGTAGAGCAGCGTCCATGGGGCGGGCGTGTACAGGTCGTGTGTAATTGTGTCCATCACCAGAATGAACAGCAGTGGTGAGAGAGCAGAGCCCTGGTGTACGCCGACGGTGATATTAAACTCCTCTGATATCCCAGCTGCCGCTTTTACACGGCTTTTGTGACATCTGTATAGGAGTTGGACCCATTGTACGAGCAGCTCAGGCACGCCGTGATCTCGCAGTGCGTACCAGATGAGATCGTGCGGGACTCGGTCGAAGGCCTTTTCCAAGTCCAGGAAGGTGGTGTGGAGCGGGATTTTCTTCTCTCTGTGAGCCTCCATCAGCATCCACACACCGAAGATGGCGTCGGTGGTGCCGCAGTTCTTGATGAATCCGGCCTGGTTGACGCTGATGTCGACGATGTCCCGAATGCGCTTATCAAGGACGCGTTCGAAGATCTTCATAGTGTGTGACAATAACCTGACCGGTCTGTAGTTGGAGCAGTCCGCTGGGCTGCCCTTTCCCTTCCAGATCGGAACAGTGGTGCTGCGGTACCAGTCGTGTGGCACTTTTCCCGTGGAGACGATGTTGTTGAACAGCTCGCACAGCCACAATGCCGAGCCCGGTAGTGCCTTTTTCCAGAAGTCGGCAGGGATGTCGTCTGGTCCTGTTGCCTTACCGTTTTTCATGGCCTTGATGGCGTCGGTGACCTCGCTGGCATAAATGCCTGAGACTGGGCCTTCAACTGGGTCACCTCGCGGGGTTCGTGGGTGTGGGAACTCCTCGGTGGAGATCTTCTCGAAGTATTGCCGCCACCTCTCGGCAGCGTCTCTGGGGTTGACGATCAAATTTCCCCTTTCGTCGTTGATCCCATGAAACTGGTCAATGTCCGGGGTCTTCCTGTGTCTGCTTTTGGCTAGGCGGTAGATCTCATTCTCACCTTCTCGCGTGTTCAGCTTCTCGTAGATGTCATCGTAGTGGGAGCTTCTGGCTGTCGCTACTGCTTTCTTGGCTGCCTTTTTGGCCGCCTTGTATTCGCAGAGTTTCTCGCTGGTCTTGTCCTGAAGAAAGGCCTTGTAGAGCCGTTTCTTCAGGTGTACGGCATCTTGTACTTCCGGTGTCCAGAGCCATGTATCTCGTTCGATGCATCTCCGTCCTGGCTTGGTGCAACCAAGCTGTTGGCAGCCGGCAGTGTGAACAGTGCTCTTCAGCATGGACCACGCTTCCTGTGGCCCGTCGACCATCTGCAGGAACTGCTTCGGTTTGATGAGGGGTCCCGCCATCTTCTTCTGGTTCCACCACTTGATTCGTGGCTGGTCTGCATTCCTTTTGTCAATCTTGGTCTTGGGCTTGCTGATCCTGATCTTCGCCATCAGCGGCCTGTGCTGACTGCTCGATTCGTACGGGTACACCTTGGCGTTGAGCACGTTTTTAGCGGCTCTTCGTCGTACGATGATGTAGTCGATCTGTGTGTGGTGGCTCCCGTTTCTGCTATGGTAGGTGAGGAGTTGAGATTCTCGCCTAATGAAGCAGGTATTCGTGATGGTCATATCATGGGAGTCGGCAAAGTCCAGGATCCTCTGGCCATTCTCATTCGTATCGCCTGTGCCGTGCCCACCGTGGCACTGGTGTCCGTTTTTGTCCCGCCCTACATGACCATTCAGGTCGCCAGAGATGATGATGTCGTCTTCGTGTGGGATCTGCCTGAGTTGGATGTCGAGCAGTTCCCAGAAGGTATCCTTCTCCTCCTCGTGACATCCGGTCTGAGGGGCGTAGGCGGACAAGATGTGTAGGCGCTGCCTCTCCGTCGCTACGACGATTATCATCATCATCATCATTAATTAAGTTCCTTAATTAATTAGTAAAAAAAAATCAAATAAGCACTTAATCAGCAATTAATCAACAATAGACCATCTTTTTCTTAAACACTTAATTGTTATGGATCATTCACTTGTTTGTAGATATCTATTTTATAAATGCACAATTGTAATATCTACATGCTTCTTGAATGGAGTATATATCAATATGTATTCTTACTTATAAATTAATTACAGAGTCCCAGTTTTCCTTTACTCAGCTTGCTTCTTTCTTCTTCAAGATGTCTTCCCTTTTCTCAAATTGCAAAGTCACTCCAGCTATAGATCACCACTTTCACTTCCATTTAAGTTCATTCTGTTTCAATCTCTCACCAAACAGCATAACACAATCAAGATGTCTCAAAAGTCTTTCTCTCTGGGTCCCAGAAATGAACAGTAAGGAAATCAAATATAAAAGACATATTTTCTTCTCTCTCCATCCCGGTCTACCACCTTTCAGCTTCACCGTGCCGTTACCATTTAATCTATCTGATATGCCAGCTTCTACTGCCGAGTCCGCCACTGCTTAAATCCTTTGTTTGGAGCCTCCTTCTCACTTAGATTTTAGAGTTTTCTTTCATCAGTATCCCCTGTTAATCCACTTTTCACTGCTATTCCACGCTGTTCACAATCTTTGCTTCCACTTTTAATCGGCTGGGCTGCCACTTTTCTGGATCAGGTCTTAAAGACCGATTTCTTTCGTACCAGTTTTCAGTACTTTCCCCTGCAGGATCTGGGAGTTGTGGATCTCCCTCGATACCCCAGGGTCTTCTCCTCTCTATCATCAACCCCTCCAGGCTCCGACTTCACCGCTATGGACTACCAGGCATGAACTTTCGGGCATACAGGATGGAGCACCGTCCCTCCGCACTGCTTCGATATGGCGCCTCAACCGGAAGTCCTACTTAATGGGCAATAAATTGGAAGAGCAAATGAAGGAGACAATGATAGTATGGGCTAAAAATTTTGGTTATACAATAGAATTAGATAAATGGCAGAAACTTTGGGATAGAAATGATAAATTAACAATATCAACTGCATATAAAGAAAACTTGTATAAGATGTTTTACAGATGGCATTACGTGCCAGTGCGAATGGCAAGAATGTTCAAAGATAAATCTGATAAACGTTGGAAATGCCACCAGGCACCTGGATCATATTATCATATTTGTGGACATGTATAGAAGCCAAAAATGTTGGACAAAAATACATGGTTGGAAAAGATGATACAGCAGAGAAAGTTAGAGACTGGCAGACAGAAAATATATTTATAGAAGTGAATAAGCTAAGATGAGGACTGTTATAAAAATCAGACAAGTATATTTGCAATAATTTTAAGAGTAGAGAATTAACATTAATGTAATGATTATGGCTGGAAATTTTAATTGTTATTGCACAAAACATTTGTACCCAGATGACACACTGTTTAATGTATGATGGATTGTTTGTATTAAAAATAAAAATTAAAAAAATATATATAGGGCAGTTGCAGGTTTGAAAATAAATAAAGAGAAAACAAAAATATTGGTTAAAAACTTTACAGATAAACAGGAGAGAATTTACAAGAATGATGAACATGTGAATTGTAAAGAAAATTAAATAGTAGGGGTTCAATTAACAGCAAGATGTGTATTCCTCATAACTATGATAAACTGAAACTACAATTTAAATGGATTTGGAAAATTGGAAAAACCTACAACTGTCCCTATTGGGTAGAATAGCTACAATTAAGATGAATATTCTGCCCAGATTATTCTACAACAGACTCTTTTCTCTAGGGAGAGTACATACCTGTTGAAAAAAAATATAATGCATGTTTGTGTCTTTTTCTAAGAAGCAGTATCTCATGATACAATTGTTCCTGCTTTAGCCAAGCAGAGGGTTAAATCAGATTCAAACTACTTATAACCAGGGACAATTAAATAATTCTATTCTCCACACAAACACTGTTTCCCTGGTCTTATTTTCTTTGGGCTCCAAAATAAGCACCAGGTCATATTTTCAGGGAATGACTTACCCACTTAGGACCACCACAGCCAGGCCTCCCATACCCTGATACCTATCACACCACTGCCTGACTTCTGCGGATGCTTGCAGCTACTTGCAGTCCGACGCCATGTGGCTCTTTATGCAAATGCTGCCGCTCACAGCAGGAGGCTGCATGACACCTCACGCCAGTGCTGCGCTCACACATGATGTTGAGACTCTAGAAAAAGTGCAGAGAAGAGCAACCAAGGATGATTAGGGGATTGGAGACTAAAACATGACGAATGGAACTGGGCTTGGCTAGTCTAGTGAAGAGAAGGACCAAGGGAGACATGATAGCAATCTTCCAATATTTGAAGGGCTGCCACAGAGAGGAGGGGGTCAAACTATTTTCCAAAGCACCCGAAGGCCAGACAAGGAATAATGGATGGAAACTGGAGAAATTTAACCTGGAAATAAGGAAAAATTTTCTGACAGTGAGAATAATCAATCAATGAAACAGCTTGCCTTCGGAAGTTGTGGGAGCTTCATCACTAGAGGCTTTCAAGAAGAGTCTGGGCTGCCATTTGTCAGAAATGGTGTAGGGTTTCCTTCTTGTGCGGGGGAAGGGGGTTGGAGTAGATGATCTACAAGGTCCCTTCCAACTCTCTCATTTTACTTAAATTCATGAAGCAAGAAGAGTCCAGAGTCCACAAGGCATGATCCAAAGTCAAGCTACAGTGTCCGTCTGAAGCAAGGCAGGGATCATAACAACCAGGGAACATACAGCTAGGAAACCAACACCTTGTTCCCCGTGTCATCTTCATTTGTCTGCTTGGCTAAATAGCCAGCCTCAGGTGCACCCCAGGCTGCCACTTTGCGAGTAGTCGGGCTAACTTCACTGCTCCTGCCTTTTCTCCACCTTCAATGGCTGCAGGAGCTCTGGTGGCGCAGTGGTTAGAATGCAGCATTGCAGGCTAACTCAACTGCTCACTGCCAGAAGTTTGATTTTGACTGAACTGTACTTTCCCTTTCTTCCTTATCCTTGGCTTTTTTTTAGGATTACTACCACAGCTGCCTGTATGATGGATTTACGCAGATATCCTTTGGATGAACAAAACTGCACACTGGAAATTGAAAGCTGTAAGTCTTACTGGGTTCCATTGATACATAAAATTTACGATTTTACTTGGAAACGTATCACGTTGAAGAATCATGACATGTTCTGACTTTGTTTCCATCATTAAAAAAAAGTCCTGTCAACATTACTGGCACTTTTTCAACTTTGACGAAGTCATTTACATACTCCCTTGCATTTTTTGAGGCCTTGTTTAAATGTTATGGCCAAGTTCTTAGTTGATGGTTTTGCCAACTATTAATTTCTTTAAATCCTTGGAAATATATTGTTTCCTATAATAGCTTTCTTCTCTTTCCCCTTCTCTCTCTGTACACACACACACACACACACACACAGAGAGAGAGAGAGAGAGAGAGAGAGTATATGCGTATGTTAATTACCATTCCAACTCTTCTAGAATCAGTATAACTCTCTATAAACAGTTAAATGTATTTATATAATTGTGACAATATTATTTAATGTTACAGCCTAACAAGCTTTAATTTACAGACTGATGTACCAAATTTTTATTAATCTGAAGATATACATTTTAATCAATGAGGGCAAAAGCTCTGAATTGGTTTTATAAGAATATTTTAGTTCTGATTATGACAATGAAATAGTAAGGATGTTAATCATATAAAACCAATGGTCTTTATTTTTAAAAAAGCATGTAATCTGTAATCATGTAATCTGTCAGGTCCCAGTGATTTACATTTGTTTAAGGTCAGATATGTGTTCTCTTACCATTTTCTTGCTTATTTTAATTTTTATTTCTAGTTTATCTTTTACAGTAGGGTTTTTTTGGTACAATTATAGCCCAATGTACCAAAAAAACTACTGCAAAAGACAAACTAGAAATAAAAATTAAAATAAGCAAGAAAATGGTAAGACAACACCTCTCTGACCTTGATGAATATAATTCACTGGGATCTGATGGATTGCAGGCATTTGTTAGAAACAGATCATACCAAACCAATCTTATCTCATTCTTTGATAAAGTCCCTAAATTAGTACAGCAGTGAAATGCTGTGGATGCAATATACTTAGATATCAGTAAGACATTTGACAAAATAGACCACAACCTACTTCTTGGTAGGCTAGAAAAATGTGGAATAGATAAAATCACCACCAAATGGATTTGTATCTGGCTGACAAACCATACTGAATGAGTAGTCTTTAATGGTACTAGATCCAAGACCCCAGAAGACAAACTAAACATCTAAAAAAGATCTTGACAAACTGGAACAATGGGCCCTATCCAACAAAATAAATTTCAGTGTGGAGAAAAGCAAAGTTTTACATTTAGGCAGGGAAAACCAAAGGTATTAGGTGAGGATTAGGTGAGACCTGGCTCAAAAACAGTAACTGTGAGGGGGAGTTTGGAGTCTTATTGGATGGTCACTTGAATATGAGCTAGCAGTGTTGTAGCAGCATCATAAAAGCTAATACAAAACCCAGGATGTATAAACAGAGGCATAGAATCAAGATCACATGAAGTATTAGTAGCACTTTATAAAACCCTAGCAAGTCTACACCTGGAATACTGCAACCAATTTTGGTCGCCGTACTACAAAAAAGATGTTGAGATTTACAAAAAGTTCAGAGAAGAGCAACTAAGATAATCAAAGTCCTGGAGACTAAAACATATAAAGAACAGCTGCAGGATTTGGGTTTGGCTAGTCTAAAGAAAAGAAAAATTAGGGGTGACGAGATAGCAATATTCCAGTATTTGAAGGGCTGCCACAAAGAAGAGGGGGTCAAATTATTCTATAAAGCACCAGAGGGCAGGATAAGAAACAATGGTTGGAAACTAATCAAAGAGAGAAGCAACCTGGAATGAAGGAGAAACTTCCTAACAGTGAGGACAATTAACCAGTGGTACAGAAGTTGCCTCCAGAAATCGTGGGCCCTCCATCACTGGAGGTTTTTAAGAAAAGACTAGACAATTATTGATCTGAATTAGTAGAGGTTCTCCTGCTTGAGCAAGGTCCCTTCCAGCTCATTCATTCTATTTTCAAAAAGTCATTTATTTGAAGAAAATGTATTTAATTATAATTACTTGATTAATTTGATAGCAGGCTAATTAACTAAAATTGATTTAGTTATAGTTGATCAATTAAAACAATTAAGGGCTGTCAGTAAGTGTATAGATGATTATATCATTAGTATTCAGCAGGAAAAGGCCTGTTGGCAGCTTATTAAGGTAGACAAGTCAAGAAAGAAGAAATGCTTTTTATTGTTATAGGGTAGAATAACAGAATTTTGCAAGACAATCGAGTCTATCTCTATCCCTTCTCATACGAACAAAATCAAGTTAGAAAACAATTCTATTCTCATATATTCTTCTTTTCTAGAAATGAGCAATCTTTTCTTTTTGTAAACATTTTTATGTGGGTTTTCACCAAACATAATACAAATAAAGTATCTTTTTTTTTAGAATAGCATGATCCCGGGTTGTCACTTTTCCATACAGACACAAACTCAATTTCATATTCATCTTTGTATTTTATTCCATATCTTATTACTATTTTAGCATTTTCTCAGTGATTTTTACCTTTTCTTAGTTTTCTCAACCTTGTTTTTGATTATCTCATTCCTTTCTAAGTTCTAAGTTTTTCTAAGTTTCAATATCTTTCTAATCATTGTGTTTATACTTTGGTCTGTCCTGTTTCAATTTCATATTTTCTTTTCTCATTAAACAAGTTTTCCCCTGTAGTTACTGATTGGAGTATGACACCTTTGTATCTTTTAATTTTTGTCCATTCAGACCTCTCTCATTCTATTTCATTTATTTATTAACAAACATTACATTACACTACAATAAGTATTTTATCTATCACTTTAACCACACTTGTTTCATATTTTCTAAATTCATTTCTATTTTTAATATAACAATGCTATCTTATGTACCCTTGCAGAATCCTCTCTTTCAAGTAAATTTTCACCCATTATCTCTATGTCTTCTAAATAGGCTTATAACTTTAATCCTTGTACATTTTCTCTGTTTCTCTATATCCTGTTTCTGTCCTTTATAACTTCTTTTCCTTTCCTTCTCCCCCCTCTTCTTCTCCCTCCCCTTTTTGACTCCTTGTCTAATTTTAATTCTCTCTTCTGTAATCCTCTCTTCTGTTTCTTCCTAATATTGTAACTACTTTTCAAACTGTTCTTTTTTTGGTTGTTTTTTCAAATCTTAAATTTTTCACTCTCTCCCCTTTCCTTTTTTCCCCCACATAGAATTACTTGATCATTAAAGATGGCTTCTTCTTTGTCCCGCCCTTCTTGTTCTTCAAACATTTCTTGTTGTTTCTCATAGTTCAAGATCTCCATTTCTAAAAATTGAAATACGAAGCCAAAAAAACCTCTTTCTTCTTGGGCATCTTCTTTCTGTTTTTAAGTTCCATTTTCAGTTCTTCCAAGAGTGATGCCATTTTAAACACTTTTAAACAACCACCCCATTGATTTTAGTCATTTAAATCCAATAACCAAAAGTCAAAAAATCACCAAGTAATCCAAATAGTCCAAAGCTGTTTCTTCTTGTTTCTTTTTTCCACTTTCTCTTCCTGGGGTTCTATTATCTTGTTACAAAGTTTCAGTTAGAATGTACTTTTTTAGGAATCTTGTTAAGGTTTCACTGTTGATTCCTTTTACTTCCAGGTAGTCTCCTCCATTTTTCCAGATCCCACCATTTTGTTTTTTTCCTTTTCTCTCCTTTCCTTCTTTTAAAAGTTTTTAAATATTCAAGAAATCTTTATTATCCCTTTGACATTTTATTTTCGGCTTAAATGCCTATTAATGTCAAAGTGAATTTTTTTCAACTTCTTACTTAAGTCTCTTAGCTGTCAGTATGGGGAAGGAAAAAAAAACCAAATCTTTTCCCATCTCTCTCTCCTTCACCACTTCAGAAATTTTCTTTGGGAACAATGTTTTTATAGTTCAAATACCTTATATAAATAAGGATACCTTATGTTGTTGCTTTTTCAGTTCAAATCAGTCAGTCAAAGCTTTCTCTTCTTCCTCCTGCACAATCTTTTCCAGTTGGATTCTTCTTTGAGGTGGCCATTTCTGACCACCATTGCAACTGCCTTCGGGAAAGGGAGTAATGGCCAGCTGCGGAGGAGATATGTAGCTCTCCTCAACCCTGCTGGCAGTCTCCCTCCTCTTCACCAGCTCTACAGGGTGGCTTAGCCCTGAATCCAGCCAGCTCGGGGCACTCTGGTGGCGAGCACGGATCGAAACCACACACGATTGCGAATTTCGGTCTGTTGCCAAAGAAGCCCAAACCAGAAGTCGAAATGAGCAATCTTTTCTGATGTTCCTTCTCCCTCAATAGTTTAATTACCTCTTCCCAATTTCAAGAGCCCAAGACTACTTTCCCACTTCTTTAACCTTAATAATTTGTTATCAAAACTTTGCAAATCAAATGTGGTGGGAAACAGAGAGCACCCATCTTGTGTCATATCATTAGTCATTTAAATCAGGAATATGCATGCATATGTAGTATTATAATCCTATTCAAAATGCTGGGTTATCCAGAAGATCAAATAGAAGAGGCTCATTTGTTTTCCTTTTCTGTGCATGTTGCTCTACAAATTCAGAAGAAAGCAGAAAATTCTACATTTTCTTCATAACTTTTGATATTAGAATAGAATAGAATAGAATAGAATAGAATAGAATAGAATAGAATAGAATGTGATCTGGATCCTTAGTACATAGAATTCTTTATTGGCCAAGTGCCAGCGTTCCAGAAAAACTCAACTCCAATTTAAAACTCTGAGACAGGCATTTTCTCAAAGTTTCTTTTTGTTAGAGTAGTTATACTGGCACATCTGGGAAAACCCGAATCTGAGAATTCCAGGTTTTCCCTTAGTAATTCAAAAGTCCAAAACCAACCCCTGCACCCATCAGTCCATCGCATGGTCCAATCACTATCCACCCCAGCTAGAGACATCCCTTCAACTACTCCTCCTGCAGGTGCAGGAATAACATGACCTTTACCAAAAAAAAAAAAAAAGAATGCTATTAT